GTGATTATCTCCGACGGGGATGCACGAGTTGGGGTTCAAGTGCAACCCCGCCAAGATATTTCTTGCATATGAAATATGACAGTTAAGGCAACTACAAACCACGCACTATGGTGATCATCTCCAATGGGGAGGCACAAGGTTCATTTGCAACCCCGCCAAGATATTTCCTGCATATGAAATATGAAAGTTAAAGCAACTGCAAGCAACGCACTATGGTGATTATCTCCGACGGGGATGCACAAGTTAAAGTTTATGTGCGACCCCGCCAAAATATTTTTTGTGTATGAAATGTGAAAGTTAAGGCAACTGCCAACCACACACTACGGTGATCATATCCAACGGGGATGCACAAGTTAAGGTCATGGTGCAACCCCGCCAAGTATGAAATATGAAAGTTTAAAACAACTGCAAGCAACGCACTAGGTGATCATTTCCGACTTGGGTGCACAAGTTGAAGTTCTTGTGCAACCACGCCAAGACATCTCTTGCGTATGAAATATGAACGTAGAAGGGTATGCACTTGGGCTAGTTGGTGATCCATATTTCTGAGGATAAAAGCGCTAAAAACAACGGACAAGTAAAAGAAACTAACAACACAGAGCGCTTTGTTTTGTTCGTTTCTTTTACTTGTCCGTTGTTCTTAGCGCTTTTGCCCTCAGAAATATGAACGTTAAGGCGACTGCAAGCCACGCACTATGTTGATCAACTCTGACGGGGATGCACAAGTTAAGGTTCATCTGCAACTCCGCCAAGATATTTCTTGTGTATGAAATATGAAAGTTAAGGCAACTGTTAACCACGCACTGCGGTGATCATATTCGACGGAGATGCACAAGTTGAGGTCCAAGTGCAACCCCGCCAAGATATTTCTTGTGTAGGAAATATGAAAGTTAAGGGAACTGCAAGCAACGCACTATGTTGATCATCTCCAACGGGGATGCACAATTTGAGGTCCAAGTGCAACCCCGCCAAGATATTTCTTGTGTATGAAATATGAAAGTTAAGGGAACTGCAAGCAACGCACTATGGTGATCATCTCCGACGGGGATGCACAAGTTGAGGTCCAAGTGCAACCCCGCCAAGATATTTCTTGTGTATGAAATATGAAAGTTAAAGGAACTGCAAGCAACGCACTATGGTGATCATATCCGACGGGGATGCACAAGTTGAGGTCCAAGTGCAACCCCGCCAAGATATTTCTTGTGTATGAAATATGAAAGTTAAGGGAACTGCAAGCAACGCACTATGATGATCATCTCCGACGGGGACGCACAAGTTGAGGTCCAAGTGCAACCCCGCCAAGATATTTTTTGTGTATGAAATATGAAAGTTAAGGGAACTGCAAACAACGCACTATGGTAATTATCTCCGACGGGGATGCACAAGTTGAGGTCCAAGTGCAACCCCGCCAAGATATTTCTTGTGTATGAAATATGAAAGTTAAGGGAACTGCAAACAACGCACTATAGTAATCATCTCCGACGGGGATGCACAAGTTGAGGTCGAAGTGCAACCCCGCCATGATATTTCCTGCGTATGAAATATGAAAGTTAAGGGAACTGCATGCAAGCAACGCGCTATGGTGATCATCTCCGACGGGGATGCATAAGTTGAGGTTCATGTGCAACCTCGCAAAGATATTGCTTGTGTATGAAACATGACAGTTAAGGCAACTGCGAACCACGCACTGTGGTGATCATATCCGACGGGGATGCACAAGTTGAGGTCCAAGTGCAACCCCGCCAAGGTATTCTTGCGTATGAAATATGAAAATTAAGGTAACTGGAAACCACGCACTATGGTGATTATCTCCGACGTGGATGCACTAATTAAGGTTCATGCGCAACCCCGCCAAGATATTTCTTCCGTATGAAATATAAAAATTAAGGCAACCGCAAGCCACGCACTATGGTGATCATCTTCGACGAGGGTGCACAAGTTGAGGTTCATGTGCAATCCCGCCAAGATATTTCCTGTGTATGAAATATGAAAGTTAAGGGAACTGCATGCAAGCAACGCGCTATGGTGATCATCTCCGACGGGGATGCACAAGTTGAGGTTCATGTGCAACCACGCCAAGATATTGCTTGTGTATGAAATATGAAAGTTAAGGCAACTGCCAACCACGGACTATGGTGATCGTATCCGACGGGGATACACAAGTAGAGGTCCAAGTGCAACCCCGCCAAGGTATTTCTTGCGTATGAAAAACGAAAGTGAAGGCATCTCAAAACCACGCACTATGGTGATCATCTCCGACGTGGATGCACTAATTAGGGTTCATGTGCAACCCCGCCAAGATATTTCTTCCGTATGAAATATGAAGGTTAAGGTAACTCCAAACCACGCACTATGGTGGTCATCTTCGACGGGGATGCACAAATTAAGGTTCATATGCAACCCCACCAAGATATTTATTTCGTATGAAATATGAAAGTTAAGGCAACTGCAAGTCACGCACTATGGTGAACATCCGACGGGGAGCCCACAAGTTGAGGTTCATGTGCAGCCACGCCGAGATATTTTTTGCGTATGAAATATGAACGTTAAGGCAACTGCCAGCTGCACACTAAGGTGAACATCTCTGACGGGGATGCACAAGTTTAAGTTCATGTGCAAACCCGCCAAGATGTTTCTTGCGTATGTAATATCATGGAGGTCATTAAATTAACTATCAACTAGTACAACGCTTCTTAGTAATTATCTCTGATGGAATCGCACAATTAAAAGTTTGCAACCAAGCCAAGATGTTTCCTCCCTATATATGGAAGTTATTAAGGCAACAGCCAACCACGCACTGTGATGATCATCTCCGACGTGGTTGCAGAGGTTAAGGTTCATGTGACACCCCTATAAGATATTCCTTGCGTAAACAGGGTGTTATTTTTTAAGCTTAACAGATTTGTTTAAAAAAAGTCGTGAAAGCTACGCTTATGCGGTTTGTTCAGGTGAGTTATACGGCCAGGGAGACATAGTATAGGGGGCTAATCGTAGCGATCAGTCGGCTAATTAAGTAACATTTTGTTAATTGACTTTTTAATTTGTGAAAATATACATTTGGTTCCCATTAGAAACTTACTGAGTGTCACAGAAAACCGCTAAATCAGTCATTCTCAGAAAGACTTTGATCTCGTGTGAGGCGCAGTAGTACCACTCGTGCAACAAGAGCAAGGCTACCGGTGCGATAACGCGCCCGGGCGACTTTCCCGTCTCTTATCAGAACCCCAGCTTTGTACCTTTTGCACGAATTGTAACTTTAGCACATCACTACGCTTCTCACGCGCTCAAAGTCTTTCTAAAATGACTGATTTAGTGGTTTTCAATGACGCTGAGCAAGTTTCTATTTGAAGCCATATGTCTATTTTCAATAATTAAAAAGTTAATTAACAAATTTTACTTTATTATCCCACTTATCGTTACGATTAGCCCCCTATACTATATCCCCCTGGCCGTATAACGCACCTGCAGAAACCGAATAAGTGTAGCTTTCACGGCTTTTGTTTAAACAAACCTGTTAAGCTTAAGAAAACCACCCTGTAGGCGATATCATGGGGTCATTAAGGTTACTACCAACCACGCACCTTAGTGATTATCTCTGACGGAGTCTCACAAGTGGAGGTTCAGTGCAACCAGGCCAAGATATTTCCTCCATATAAAATTCCATGGAAGTTATTAACTGCCAACCACGCACTATGGTGATCATCTCCGATGGGGATGCACAAGTTGAGCCTCATGTGCAACCCCACCAAGATGTTCCTTGCACATGTAATTACATGGTTGGTTCATAAGGTTCATGAGTGACCCTCCAAGATGTCCCCCATTAAGGTAATACGAAACGTACCATGGTGATGATGTCCGACGGTGTTGCACAATTCGAGGTTCGTGTGCAACCCCGTCAGGGTATTCCCTGCGTAGTGTTATAGAAGTCTTTAAGAAAACTAATATCCACGTAACATGATAATCGTTTCCGATGGGTTTGCACAAGTTTAGGCTCATACGCGACACAGCCAAGCTGTTTCCTCTGAACGTACTGTCATGAAAGTCATTTAGGTCATTAGGTTAAGTCTCTTAGCGAAACGTAGGCTGCCACTCCGAGGCTTTCAGCGGGTACCTTTTAAAGACCTTCCTGCCAGCTTCGATTACCCTCATGTATTGTTTGAACACTATGGCGGTTACTATCTGACCGGGTCGCACAAGTTGAGGCTTTTGTGTGAACCGGCGAAGATGTCTCTGCCTAGGTAGCATACATTATAAAAGTTATTCAGACTGCAGCGTCCAAATCTTGAGACTTGTACATCAACGGGACATTCAAAGGACAGCCGCCAAAATGTCTGGTGTAATGCACGTAGGGGCGGCATTAATGGAGGAAGAGGGGGCGCTTCCCCCTAAGCCCTGCAAGGGCAAAATGTTTGTGAGCGAAAAACTGCATACACTATAGTATTTTTTCTGAATGTTTAGTTTTTGGTGAAATGTCAAATATTAGGTCAACAAAATAGATCCGAGCAACGCTTCGCCCGTGCACGTCAGATCTCTCTAAATAGCCCCCCCCCCCCCCCCCCCCCCCCCCAAGCCTGACCTATATATCCGTCCCTGAATCGTGATATCAGTAACTAGAAACCAACCAGGAGGCATCAAATCTCTAAGTTTACCAAGAAACCGAGTACAATGTGACAAGAGGCACTATGTAGTTTGTTATAATTTCCCTTTCTGTCAGACGATGCCCTCCCCTCCTCTGCCCCATCCTTGGGAGACTCCGAGGGTTTAAGTGCCACCCCGCCAAGATTTCCCCTGGGAAATAATATGGAAGAAGGTTACTGTTTGACATTTTAGTATTCATCAAACACATGTCACCAACACCACATTGTGAGACATTCCAGCAAAAGCTCTTCACCTTGAGATTCTTGCGAGCAAGGGTACTTGCTGACAGTGCGATGCACCATTTTATCTGGATTTACTTCCAATGCATACCATGTGGGACTTTCTCACGCCGCTTAGTATACCTTCATCAGAAGGACGGCTGTCTCTCCGGAGGACAGCAGGTCCTTGGCCGAGGCAACCTCCTCGGAACCCCGCTGCAGGGAGGCCCGCACTGTGTGAGGCGACGCGGCTGACAGCAGCGTCACGGACACCCGATACACCTGGCTGGGCCGCACCACCTTGGACGCCAGGACCAGGTACCTCCTGCAGAGAAATGCGATATTTCGCATTTATTAACACGCGCCACAACAGAGCGTGAAAATGATCAGTTCAACAATAAATCCGTAACGATGATAATCCCTGGGAGAAGGAGAACAAGGGGGACACAGGACAAACACAAATCTCCAAACATAGCTAGGTGACTGGTGCGCGACTGAAAAGATCTGCCTGGCCTTAGTATCGAACCAGGGACCTCTTTATTTCCAGTGGAGCGCTCTACCAACTGAGCTAACCAGGTGTTATACGTTAGTGGAGCAAACGGGTTTTAACATTCGCCACCAGTCAACACCAACAAGGGTGAACGGCCTGCATTTTAAGTTTATGATTTGAATGCAATTAATGCAAAGGTGCAGCAAGCTGGACAAGAATAACGATAATAATTCCTTGGGAAGGGGTTGCCTGTCACCTAGCTGTATTTGGAGATTTGTGTTCGTCATATGCCTCCCTTGTTCCACTTCTCCAGGGGATACTATCTTTTTTTTTTTTTTTTTTTTTTGTCCAGCTCGCTGCATCTTTGCATTAATTGCATTAACACAATAAAACAGTGATGGTGCAGGCGAGTTGGTGTAAGATTACCATTTCTTTAAAACACCCGACACTATGAAGCAACTTGAAGCAACGAAAGTAAAAGAAGCAGGGAAAGGACGACAAGAACCAACGCCTCAAAGTTAAACTCAACTCAAACTGAGCGGAGTTTGAGACGTTGGTTCATGTTGTTCTTTCACTGTTTTCTCTAATTTGGTTACATCAAGTTTCTTCACCCAGTTTTGGTTGCTTAAAGAAAATGAATCAATTGAAAACGCTTTTAGTGCAGCTGGACCAGATAAGTTCGCTGTGAAGACGCTATTCAGCTAACGGTCACCTGTAGTAGACATGGGGCTTCAGTGCGTGCGTGAGTTCGCTCGGGCTTTTTGTACGGTTCAACCATACTTCTAATCCGAATATCCAAAAGTTGTACTTTAACGAGAAGCTCCGGTTAATTGACTATTACCCGGTACTTTTCACGATACGAATAATTCGAACCCATCCCTTTTCTCTTGACAACACCAAACAAACTGGATCCTGTCACATTTTTCTTTCTCTTCCACTGTTGATGTTTCTAGTTTCCTTGCCCCAGTCTCAAGTAATTCATCAAAATGGTAAAAAAAAAAAAGACACCGATTAAAGGCATTTCTTTTCGCGACTGGAAAAGTAATTCTCGAAGGAAAACACCGAACGTGACTGGGCTTTTCCAGTTTTTATCGCTGTGCACGCATAATGTTGACAATGTACTCCTTCCTGCCTGCAAACCAGGCTGCAAACCAGAGCGAGAGCGAACATCAGTTCTGCGTCAAACTCGGCAAATATAAAACAGATACCTTCGAAATGATTCGGCAGCTTTGTGCCAAAAAAACAGTGAATTTTGCGAAGTGTTTTAAGTGTCACTCGCGCTTCAGGAACGGCAGAACATCGCTGGAAAACGAAGGGCGGTAGGACGACCTCATCTGAACTCTCCTTGACATTAGTGACGTTCTGACATTCTCGAGGCGCGAGTGCCTCTCCAAACACCTCGCACACCTCACTGCTTTTTGAGATAAGCCTTCTAAATCATTTCAGAGGTCTCTGTTTTAAATTTTTGAGATTTCGGTAAAATTTATGTTCCCTCTCGCTTTGGCTAGCAGTCTATGGAGATACTGGGGAGATCGCCATAATGCTCGTGCATGTGGTCAAGCAAACTCCTGTAGCGCAGCTCCAAATATAACGAGACACGAAAGTCCCTTCCTTCGACTGCTGCGCGGACATCACTGTGCTGCCCTCTCTTTTTACGCTACAAAATCACTCTCGGAACTTGTTGATCACTCCTCGTATGGTATCTTATTATGGTGTACTAGAAGACTGGGCAGTGTAGCGAGCGCCGGCGGAGGGGGGGGCTCTTTCAGCGATGACCGGATCGGTGGCCGCGAGAGGGCGCAACGTGTAGTAGGCGTGCTGCCGGAGTGCGGGGCGCAGGCAGCGGTAGCGCTTGGCTGGCTTGGCGTTCCGCACATGTTCGATTGTTTCGTATTGTTTGGCTAACTCTTTACGGTATTCTTTATTTCTGCTGTTTCACATATTATTTATCAAACTAATTCGTTGCCAAATGCTTTGCCCGAGACGTGCATCTTCGGGCAGGACGCCACAGTACACATCCGGACACTGCTAGCGAGAACAAGACATTGGCGCTTTTTCGGATTTACTTCGAAAGAGTATTAGTGAGGACGAACTTTTATCACCTGCATTATAGACCCGAATGAGCTTTTTCCTCAGCAATTCGAACTTTGCTGAGATCTTTTGGTTTCTCAAAGAAAAACCGGCGATCGCTTGTTCGCGCTGACAATGTTGCGTTCTGAATAGCTGCGGGAAATCCATCCCCCAGGGAAACGTTGGGGAAGTCTCTTGAAAGAGACGTCCCAAACGTGTGTAATCCCCTGGATAACGTAGGATAAGCATGCTGATGGCGTGATACCTAAACAAATGTGTGCTTGTGTGACCCTATAATTTCGCTGTCACTGTAGTTGTGATCAATGAATTCCGTGGTTGAAGCTCACTACCCTAATGAATTGTTTCAATGTTTGGGAAAACAAAATGGGGCTTACAAAACGGGCTATATCGTCTACTTCCGTAGGCTGCATGGAGGTGCCACTGCCGACTCACGCAACTACTTCCACAGGCTTTCGAAGGAATTTCCAGTACTAGCCTTTATCGTATTTGCTGTTACTACGTGGGGTCTTCAAACAGGATTGTGCGAATAGTTAGAAAAATGTATCCACTCACCAGCTCTGGTAGTAACCACAGTGTATATATTCTTATTTATCCACTGAGCACCAGCTATATTGATATGTGTGGGCACCAGGGCACACAGATAAATTTTTAATTATACACTGGGCGCCAGCGCACAGATGAGATTAATGAGGTGCACCCAAGGATTCCGGAGGCGATGGTACTTGCTTTTCCCAAGAGCTCGGGAGAGGGGGGCTCCCGAGCTTCCCCGTAGTCGGCGCCTATGGCGTTTTGTACCTCTGCATTCTCCAACGTGAGGTCATGATCTTGATGAGCTTCGACATCTTCAGGATAAATGACTCAGTATCTTCCGCTGGGCCATAAGACCCTTCAATTTTCTTGCGGTAAAAAAAAAAAAAAAGAGGCCTCTTAGCACCTCCTTATTGAAGAGACGGAGTGCTGGGCCAACCCTCATATTTTTAAAGCCGTTAGGAAAAAAAAAAATAATTTGCTCATGTGAGGCCATAACCTTTAACGTCATATTTTCACAGTCACTTCTCCAAGCCTTTCTAATGCAGTCAGCGTGCACAGGACCCTTCGGTGTGCCCAAACCAGTGTCTATAAAACCGATTTAGCAGATACTTTAAAGTGCAAAAAGTCCGAAAAAAAAATGTAGAGGACGACTGTCATGACAGCCTGCATTACATGAAGCAGAGTCTCCCTGTCACTCCTTTTAATGTTGCGGGACGACGACTGACGCCGATTGAACTCGAGAGGGGCACGAAAAAGGGAACGGGCTTCTTTGCAGGACCGGTAGCCACTGTTGCAACCCGGCACGGGCCCCAGGAATTGAGGTTAGGGAGGGTGTTCGGGGGGGCATTGAGAATATAAGAGCCGTTGCGAATTAAAGGGGTGCTTTCGGAAAAACAAGGGGGGAGTACAACCCCCGCTGAGGGGTGCAGGGAAATCGCTGCCCCGACACAAAACACGTCCCGTCTCTCATGTCCCGCCGTTTTTCTGTCATTGCACGCGTTGTCTACACCCTACTGAACGGCACCGATCACAATCCATTTCACTCAACCATTATTAAAAAAAAAAAAAAAAATGCAGCAAAACAAGGCGACGACGCGAACCACGCGATCACAAGCAGTACGACCACACGGCAATCCGAGCGGGAAGGAGCACGCCTGTTACCCGCAGCGCCCCCTGGCCACCCTGGCGCGCCGTCATCGCTGCGCCGACCTCCTCCCTCCGTTGCTTCTCGGCGCGGACGACACACTGCCCAGTTCTAGTACACCATAATCTTATCAAGACGTGCACGCTTCAAACGCCAAAAGCATCGCTTCTTCCTCCAACAACCAAATTTAGTAAGAACTACTTCGCGCGGCGTATTAACGATGCGCAAAACTTGTTTTTTTCTTGAGATGACAACGAATATAGAGGTCTATGTAACGCCTAAACACCAACAGGAACACATCCATTTGGCTCAAATAGGATGGTTTGTGGCCCGCATGTTGGCTCAAATGGGATGGTTTGTGGCCCGCATGCTGGGACACAAAACGTACAGTCTCCGACAATATGAAAGACCCTTTCGCCGAGACAGTTATTGCGGCATTGCTAAGTACGCTTTGACCGGAGGTGCTTTGTTTTTAGGGAAAGAATATAGGAAACGTTTCTTTATTTCCTCATTCCAAGACATGTGGGCCTGGCCAAAGTGAATCCAGCATCGCTGCCTGAAACAGCGCATCCGAATGGGTCGTGTATATTGTTAGAGGACTGTACACCACCTGTGTACCTGCCCCCCCCCCCCCCCCCCCCCAAATTACATATACAATAAAAAAAATCTCGAAACGATAAAAAGCAAGCAGCCGGTACGTGATCGGTCGCAAAATCTGTCTTTCCGTCTAAGTGAGCGTCCCTTGCATCTACGACTTTTAGCGGGAAACCTCAACAATGCATCGCGTGAGTCGCGTAGTATTATACGTATAATACGCAACACATAGTGCGAGATTCCAATATTTAATTTAAAATAAATACATATATAAAATCAAACACTTTGTGAAATAAAACGAATTCCTTAAAAACGCACTGGCAAAACCTTTTTTTTTTTTTACTTATTATTTAGTTTTATACCCGTACAGTTTCCAGACTAGACAAATGGCAGTTTCAAGTCTAATAATTTTTTTTTGCTCGGAACAAGTTTGTACGGAGAGGCAGTTTCCGGAGACGGACTGGAATAGTTGGCA